TGAAAGCTTCTCCTTAATGTAGTCTGATTCCTCCTAAGAGTCAGGAGTGGTAGAATTGTGGAGCATTGACCACATTGTTTGGGTCAGGGTTCATGTAACACAAGGTCATAAGCCTATAGCCTCAACATTTAACTCTGTGATTTTCAGGTAGAATAGTGACAAAAGCTAGAGTCAGGAAGTGTGTCCATAGGGGGACTTCAGAAAGGTCTCATGGTGCCAATTTGTGTGAGGTATTCTCGGTAGTGGGAATTGAAACCAGGTCCTCACACATGCTAGGCAAGTGGGCAAATGCTCTACTGTTGAGCTACATCCCTAGCTAAAATGTGTGGGTTTTGCGGCTGCCTTCCCTTATTTAAACTCTTTTCCCAGGGAGGGCAAGTATATCCCTCTGCCTCAACGAGTTCGAGAAGGTCCCCGGGGAGGAGTTCGGTGCAGCAGTTCTCGGGGTGGCCGGCCTGGCCCTAGCTCTTTGCCACCTCGTGGCCCTCATCATCTTGACAATAGCAGCCCTGGCCCAGGTTCTGAGGCACGTGGTATCAATGGAGGTGAGTTGTAAAGCAGACAGATGGGATGGAAAGAAAGTGGTAAAGGTGATTGAAAGGATTTAGACCATTTGGAAAAGATGATGAGTTGGTGATAATGCAGGTTCTCTGTCCCTTCATATTCTCTGTCTTTTGAAAATAGGTCCTTCCCGCATGTCCCCCAAGGCACAGCGCCCTCTGAGAGGTGCCAAGACTCTGTCTTCACCCAATAGCAGGCCTTCTGGAGAATCTTCTGTTCCACCTCCTCCTGCAGGTAAAGCTTCAGTGCTGTTATATGAAGAAATGGGTAGAAATTTGTACAGGGAGATAAACATGTCCCTTGGAATGCTGGGATGGGAGAATTAAGTTTAGAGAGCTTGGTCTTATCCTTTAGGCGAAGAAATTTTTCAGTTTTCCTAGTATGAAATCTAACCTAGCAGTTCATGGGTTGTATATTGGCTGGCAGGTGTCTTTGTTTGTTTGTTTGTTTAGATTTGAATTTGACCAACAGTTTTAAAACGTGAGAAGTCACAGAAATTTTTAAGACCATTTTTGAAATACGTGAAATTCTGCCAACACTGAGCCTGTCTTACTGCATAGCTCTAGCTGGCCCAGAAGCACACCTGTTTCTTTTAAGCTTTCCAGATCTTCATGGTGCCCTTGAGGCTATTAACCTGCTTTCTGTTATCTACCTTGGCCTTGGTGTGAGGTGTAATAAATGTATATGCTTTGGGTTTTAGTGAGTTTCCTGTATTTGCTGCTTATTGACCAGCAGTAACCATTGTACAGCTCTCTCTTTTCTTCCAGTGGGCCGGATGTACCCTCCACGCTCTCCAAAGTCTGCTGCCCCTGCCCCAATCTCTGCTTCTTGTCCTGAACCTCCTATCGGCTCTGCAGTGGCGACCTCTTCAGCCCCTATCCCTGTAACATCATCAGTTGTGGATCCTGGAGTGGGTTCCATTTCCCCAGCTTCTCCAAAGATTTCACTGGCCCCCACTGATGGTAAGAGTCAGATGGTTGAGTGCTGTGGACAATGTAAAATGTGGCTGTGGACAGGAGGACCTTCAGGCATCTCTCTCTTTCCTTGTCAGTAAAAGACCTCCCAACCAAGGAACCTGGCAGAACTCTGGAATCCCAGGAGCTGCCCCGGATAGCTGGGAAAGGTGAGTGCGGTTTGTTGTGCTGCGGTCTGATGCCCCTTTGTTGAGGAGAGCATTTCAGGAAGTTTGTTGGGATTCAGGAACAGACATTTATCTGTTATCCCTTCACTTATAATTATTTCTTTGGAATTCTCATTTGTCTTTGGTTTCTTGTCCTTGAGCTACTAGTATTGTGTAGACACCTTTGAGAAAGGTGTGTTGTTATATTTTCTCCTTTTTCCATCATTTTTTCATAGTCCCTGGCCTTCAGAATGAGCAGAAACGATTTCAACTAGAAGAACTAAGAAAGTTTGGGGCCCAGTTTAAGGTACGTGAAATGCGGAAATGGATTGGATGTCAGCAGGGGGTATGGAGGATTTATAGAAGAGACAAAAGGGTCAGCTGAGTAGAAGAGATGAACTGAAGCTGACAAGAGGAGTCTGGCCTGGGATCTGGATCATGATACATATCTTTCTTTTTCCAGCTTCAGCCCAGTAGTTCCCCTGAGACCAGCCTGGATCCTTTTCCTCCTCGGATTTTAAAGGAGGAGGTTAAAGGGAAGGAGAAGGAGGTTGATGGTCTATTGACTTCAGAACCTATGGGGTCCCCAGTCTCATCTAAGACAGAATCCGTATCGGATAAGGAAGACAAACCCCCCCTGGCACCAGCAGGAAGCACTGAGGGGCCAGAGCAGCCCCCACCACCTTGCCCAAATCAAACTGGCAGCCCCCCGGTGGGGCTCATCAAGGGAGATGACAAGGATGAGGGCCCTGTTGCTGAGTAAGTGAGGTGTGGGGAGCTGGGTGAATGTCGGGTGGTGAGGGGAAACCATGAGGACTTAGCTTTATTTTATCTCACAGACAAGTAAAGAAGTCAACGTTGAACCCCAATGCCAAGGAGTTTAATCCCACAAAGCCTCTGCTGTCTGTGGTGAGATGGGCATGAAGAATGGGGACTTGGGTTTCCATGAGGGAATTTTGGGAGCAGGCACTACACAGTGGAGGGGAGCACTTCATTGCCAGGACCACTGGGCTGTCCAGCAGTGCAAAGGAGATAATACAGAAGTGTAGAGCAGCAGCAGTTATGCTGGTTTGAGAAGAAAGGAGTCTCCAGGGTTGGGTGAATCTGATAGGCTTTAGTTTCTCCAAGAAGTTCTTAGCATTTGGAGTATTTGGGTGAGACTGTTCGGAGCTTGGGCTTCATTTAGACTGACTTGGCTTGAACCTGTATGCTTACATAGTGTATAGGTCTTGGACAAGACCTATAATCTGTTTTCCCACATGTAATTTGACGGGTTTGATGGGAAGTGTAGAATGTGCAGAATGTGTTTGACACACGACATTGTGAATGGCTGTTACGGCCAGCGTAGGAGTGGGGATATAGAAATAAAATGTTGTCCTCCCTTGTCTCTTACAGAACAAATCCACCAGTACCCCAACTTCTCCAGGGCCCCGAACTCATTCAACTCCCTCCATCCCGGTGCTGACAGCAGGCCAGAGTGGGCTCTACAGCCCCCAGTACATCTCCTACATACCTCAGATCCATATGGGACCAGCTGTACAGGTAGGAGAGAAGAGCCTTGGGGCCTAGGGTAAGAGAAGTAGAGTTTTGTGGGCAGACCAGTGGACCAGGTCAGGCCAGTCCTGAATGTCAATAAACAAACCAAGCTTCATGTGTCCTTGTCCTAGGCACCTCAGATGTATCCGTATCCTGTATCCAATTCGGTGCCTGGGCAGCAGGGCAAGTACCGAGGAGCAAAAGGTGAGCAGGGTGAGGAGGGGCAGTTGGTGGGGCTGCCTGGTACCTCCTGGCAGATGGAGCTTGAGCTCTGCGCTCTTTTCCCCCCACCCTCAGGCTCCCTCCCGCCCCAGCGCTCAGACCAACACCAGCCAGCCTCAGCCCCTCCGATGATGCAGGCTGCTGCAGCTGCTGGCCCACCTTTGGTGGCTGCCACACCTTATTCTTCCTACATCCCCTACAACCCGCAGCAGTTCCCAGGCCAGCCTGCCATGATGCAGCCTATGGCCCACTACCCCTCACAGGTGATCATGGCACAGGAGGGAAGGGGGGTGGTACAGAGCCCTTGCAAGGGATCCCACCTTCTCTGTCTCCACCACTTAGGTGCTGGGTGAGGGAGATAGTTGCATGATTGACAGTGTCAGACTTGTGCTGAAATCCAGGCTCTAACAGGGCTTAATGCCTATAACAGTCATTGAACACCTACTTCTGAGTTTATTCTTCTGAAGTGTAAATGAATTAGCATCTGCTTGACAGGATTACTGTAAACCTTGAATAAATAAGGTATCTGCTAAGGCCCAAGCAGTGCTATGCACACATTGACCAACTTCCCTAGCTGGCTGAACTAAATTCTTTCTGTCCCATTAGCCGGTGTTTGCCCCCATGCTTCAAAGCAGCCCACGCATGCTGACGTCGGGTAGCCATCCCCAGGCCATTGTGTCATCCTCCACTCCTCAGTACCCTTCTGCAGAGCAGCCCACCCCCCAAGCCCTCTATGGTGAGTTCTGTGCTTTTTCTGTCTGCTCTGGGCTGTACCTAGTGGCTTCTGGCGTGCTCAGCATTGGTTCTCTCCTTCTTCCTCTGCAGCCACTGTTCACCAGTCCTATCCACACCATGCCACGCCACTCCATGCCCACCAGCCACAGCCGGCCACCACACCTACTGGGAGCCAGCCGCAGTCACAGCATGCGGCCCCCAGTCCCGTCCAGGTGCCTGCTCTTGGGAATCTGAATGGTTGGGGCTGGAAAGGTGGCTAAAAGAATGGAGAGCCTGGCATTATTTCCCATTTGGAGATTGGGTCAGAAGTGATTGGCCTGCTACCAGAGGAGTACATGGCACTCATATTTCCCTTCACCTCTCCAACAGCACCAGGCGGGGCAGGCCCCACACCTGGGCAGTGGACAGCCACAGCAGAATCTGTACCACCCAGGGGCCCTGACAGGCACGCCGCCCTCTCTGCCACCGGGACCTTCTGCCCAGTCCCCTCAGAGCAGCTTCCCCCAGCCAGCCGCTGTGTATGCCATCCATCCCCACCAGCAGCTGCCCCACGGCTTCACCAATATGGCCCATGTTACCCAGGTAAGCACCCAAGGGACTGATCTGGCTGGGTCTCTGTGCCAATGGAAATGAGCCTTGACATTGACCATTTCCGGAGACACTATACCTCTTTTGCAGGAGTATCCCCAATGCTAGGATTCTCGGGTTCCATCTCAGACTTCTGTGGTTCTCCTAGCTGCTTTTTCTCCTTGACAGGCCCATGTCCAAACTGGAATCACAGCAGCCCCGCCCCCTCACCCTGGGGCTCCCCACCCGCCCCAGGTGATGCTGCTGCACCCACCCCAGAGCCATGGGGGGCCCCCCCAAGGCGCGGTGCCCCAGAGTGGGGTGCCTGCACTCTCAGCTTCCACACCCTCACCCTACCCCTACATCGGACACCCCCAAGGTGAGCAGCCTGGCCAGGCGCCTGGATTTCCAGGAGGAGCCGATGACAGGATTCGTGAGTTCTCGTTAGCTGGGGGAATTTGGCATGGAAGAGCTGAGGGGCTGCAGGTGGGGCAGGATGCACGGGTTCTGGGTGGGGAGTGAGGGGTCTTGGAGGCAGGGCTGTCCCACAGGGCGCCCGCCGACCTGCACCTGTCTGTGAAGTATGTAGGGTGGGCAGAAGCCACAGTCGCCGCCGCCAGGGGCTTGCTCCTGGCTCTGTCCTTTGCTTCCCTCCGTCCTCGCTCAGTTGTGATCCAGCAGCCCCCCTCCCCACTGCCTCCCCAGCTCTCAGTGACCCCGACTGTCTCCTGACTTAGCCGAGGTAAGGTCAGCGCAGCAGACAGGGCCAGACTGGGGTGTGGGGGGCTGAGCTGGGCACATGAGTAAGGGCTCTGGCTTACTGGGAAACAGCGATTGACCTGTGCTTCTGACAGCCCCATGAGACACCTTGAGGAGGCCGCTCCTACCCACACACCCCCACAGCCCCTGGACGCATTGATGAAGGGACAGCTGCTTGGGTTCTAATGCTCCTGCTCTCTTCTCTTTCCCCTCCAACCAGTTCAATCTCATCCCTCCCAGCAGCTCCCCTTCCACCCCCCGGGGAACTGAAGATTGTCCTGGCCGCGACCTGAGACCTCCATGAGTGGAGGGAAGAGTGATCTATGTCTCTTCCCCCAGCAGCTCGGACCAGTCCCAGCCCCCCAACCCCCCCCTTTCCCCTGGGGGAGCTGGGGAATTCCTGCCAAGCACCTTGAATGGGAGGGGCCTCAAAGTGGGCAGGGCCAGGGTCCTGCAGGGGTGGGGGGTTCCTGCTCTGCCCCTGCCTGTTCCCACCCAATCTTGCCCTCCCATCCTCTCATCTATTCCTCCCTCCCCCCGCTGGAGACGGAAGATCTTTTATTTTCTATTATTTATAACCTCAGACTTGGGCCCCCTGTTCTTTCTTCCCCATTAACTTGAGTGACCTGCGTGAGAGACAGACAGATGCCCCACAAGGATGGTTGGACAAGGACTTTTACTTTTTATTACATAAAAATATTAAAAAATAAATAAAAAAAATAAAATTTTAAACTAACTTAACTTATAGTTCGCTCTTTAGAGATGAGAGGTTGGTTATAGTTGTTCAGTCTTAGGTGATATTAGGATTACATTCATCATGTCACCTGTTCTCCTTTAGACTAAAGTAGCAGTTTCTCTGAACCTAGGATAAGGAAACACCTCGAGTTGTGTGCTGTTCATTTGAAAAGTGGGTTACAGTCTTAATGTGGAGTTGTGATTATTGATGGAGTTTTTGTGTTACTGGATGGTGAAAAGTAAAAGTATCAGGAGAGTAGGTTTTTTTTGGTAGTGGGGCAGAACTTAAGGCCTCACATGCTAGGCAGATGTTATACTACTGAACTACTTACTGCTCTACTTACTGCTAAGTTGTCAAAACTGGCCTCCTGAGGTGCTGGGATTATACTCTTGTACCACTCCACCCAGTTGTCTCTTTATTGAATGCAGTTTGTTTCTGTCCATTGAAAAGTTATATATAAATAATCAGCCTTATTGGTTGGAGCACAGCTTAGAGGTCTCGGGTGTGGGTAAAAACCTAGAGTTAAAGCTGCTAGAAGGGGGAGAGAAGTGGATTGGGGAACCAGTTTAGGGAGAGAGTAGGGGTTAGGACAAGAAGCATGGGCTTCAGATGAGGTGTTTTTTTTTTCAAGGTGGCAGTTTGGAATTCTTTGTGATCTGACTTTGGTGATTTTGTCCATAAAATGAGATTATTCCTTCCTTCCAGGATTGTGAAGATAGGACCAGTGCTCAGTGTCAGGCAGGGTTAACCACTTAAAACAAAAATTTGAGGGTGCATGAGGAGGGGAGGGGCTTTAAATAAAAATTTTAAGTGGGAAAAAAAAAAATGTGAGCCATTGGCCAGGGTTGGAATTCTAAGCAAAGAGTCCTCCAGATGGGAATAAACCCATGTGGTTGTACACACCTGTAATCTCAGCAATGCAGGAGATTATGGCAGGAGCATCAAGTTTTGAGGCCAGTCTGGGCAATTTAGCAAGATGTTGTCTTGAAATAAAAAGGCTATGAATGTAGCTCAGTGGTAGCGTGTGCACCAGGGTTCAACCCCAAGTATAAAAGGGGCAGGGTCAGCAATAGAAACAGATGTAAAGCCTGCATGCATTTGGGCTCAGGATGTATGTATAGTTATTGTGGATATTATGGAATAGTTTTTGATGCTTTGTGGGAAGGTCATAGATTGATTTATGATCTTTAGGCAGAAATCTCAAAAGTTGGAGCTTTAGCTTTCATGGAGTCAGTAGTTCCCATGAAAATTCTCAGCCTTGCTTGAACAGGAGGGTGCTGAAACAAACCTGCCTTGTCTTAGGATGTTGCTTTTGCAAAGATTTTCCTTGCATTCATCCTCTTTGCCTCTTTCCCATTTTTTCTTAGTTTGCTTCTGCTTTGGATCATAGATCAGGTTTTGAGTCTGCTGTTGAATGGGCAGGTATCATGAGATGTTCAGGCATCAGGATGCAAGCTTGACAGGCCTGCCCATTTATAAAAATCCCCACTTTTTTTTTTATTGGGATCAGCTTCTGTGGCAGTCATACCATGTTACATGTTTTTTTTTTTTTAAAGATCTCAGCATTTCATTCCTTATATATTTGATACATTCCCTTTTCCTTAATTTCAAATCTGACTGAACATGTGGCTGGATGCTGCCAGGCAAGCACTCTACTATTGAGCTTGCTACACTCCCAGCCCTAACTGCATTCTTAAATGTTCTCATTCCTGTACTTGAAACCGGTAATGACCACTCAAGTACTCTTCAGGAATGATTACTTGGCTTTCTGAGATATGTACTTAGTACTTCTTACACTGGCTGCTAGGTCCAGAGATGAAAAAAGTATAGTCCCCACTAACATAGTACTTAAATGGGTGGTCAAGAAAGATGAGTGCTTAGTGACAGCTGACTCCATGGTGTCTCCAAGTGACAGGCAAATCTTTTAGGATTCATAAGCTCACCAATAGTAGATTCTGCTTCTCAAACTCAAAATGGCTTTGAAGAGCTTTTAGTTTATATAGCCCCCATAGAAATGGACTGAACTAAACTCTTCATCCATCTTGGGCTTCATTTACTTTATGTAATCTCTTGTCACTTCAATTTATGCAAAGGACATAAGACACAAAGGCTAGCTTACTATTCACAAATTTTATTGCCCTATCTTTGCCTGGCAGGCCACCCCATGTAACCAGGGGAAGTGTCCATCTAGCTGCATTGGGCTAGATTGCAGCTCTAAAATTAAGAGAACCTGAGCAGAAGTCCACACTCAACTCCATTTGATGTTCTTGTCCTCTTCGGTCATTGCTGGTATGTCTGTGACAAGGCCTGTGCCAATGGTCCGATTGCCATCTCTCAGGGTGAAACGCTGGCCTTTCTCTAAGATCATTGGCTGCCGCAAGATTAGGCTGAGCTTCAAGTCCTCCCCAGGCATGGCAAGCTCCTGGAAGAGGTGGAGAGATGGTCCAAACAGACTTAGCAGTCTAACTGCTGGCTGCTGTGGAGTTAAGTCATGGGAAAATGCAGCAGGGTGATGAATTTGTCTGGGCACAGCTTCATGTATTCTGACCATCAGACCACAGACATCAAGAAACCCTGTGCTTCTAGGGTAGGGTACTCCCCCCACCACATTTTGGTACTGGATATTGAACAGAGGTGCTTAATCACTGAACCACATGAGATGGTAGTCTTGCTAAATTGCAGAGGTTGACCTTGAACTTGCAATCTTCCAACCTCAGCTTCCCAAATTGCTGGGATTACAAGTATGCACCACCACACCCAGCTTGAGGTACATTCTTAAGAAAAATATTTAGAAACTTTGCTTTTAACAGGTTTCTTTGTCAGAATTCTTTGTATTTAACAACACTTGTCAAGAGGCATCCTTTCCAGGGAAATTTTGTGGGTAAATGGTGGTGTAGCTGGGCTTTTGGCCTAGTTCACCCTAGGGCATGCTGGATGAGGACTCCCAACTCCAGTGCGTGCTCAGCAGCAGCCGCCAGCCTCTCTTAGCCCAAGGAAACAGACCCACCCGAGCTTTCTATGACATCTTTGAACTGTGAGAGCTGGTAGGAATAATACTCCCTTCCCGCCTTCACATTCCCTATACCCACCATACCTTCCCTGGAGGCAAGACAACACGACAGGCCATGTCCCAAGTCAGGGAGAACATGACAGGCATGAAGTGGGATACAAAGGGCTTGTGGCGGCCACCCTCCTCCTTGCTGAGGATGTAAACCTGGAGGAAAGAGCAATGAGGATGAGCTGGGCTTGGCTAGAAGCCCTGCTGCTCTGCAGGGGACAGGTTAGCTCAGCCCTGCCACCGCAGTCTGGCTGGGCACAAGATCACGAGCCACTCACACTTAGTAGATTCAAACAGCAATCCTTTATTCCCGAACTCACACTGGGCTTGTACAAACAGGTTCTGGGGAAATCCAAGTTCTGCCGCCCAATTCATGTCCCAAATACTTTCTCAATTCCATGGGGAACTGAGGCAGCAGGATACGCCCTGTTCCCAGCAGGAATTATCTTAAACCTGGAATCGCCCTAAACCCAGATTGTCTTAAACGGGGAACGCCCTAAACCCAAGGAGGGATACTTCCTAAAACCTGCAGGATACACCCTAAACCTGGATCCACCCTGGTCCTTGAGCAGGGTCACCTTTCTCAAACACACATGCAATGTCACAGCGAATTTCCAAGGCAAGTCCATTTAACATGGGGTACTCTGGCAAGGAAATTTCGATGCGTCATTCCTACTTGGCAATGGCCCTCAGCATGCCACCATTACTTAGTGCCCTCACCTGAGCCTCCACCTTCTGGTGGGGCTGGATGGAACCTGGCTTGGCCATGACCAAGCCACGCCTCAGATCTTCCCGCTTCAAGCCTCGGACCAGGGCTCCAAGGTTATCCCCTGCCTCTGCCCTCTCCAGGCTCTTGTGAAACATCTCAATGCCTAATGGGGAAGAGAAAAGGGAGGGAGTAGACAAGACACAAGAGGAAAATGGGGAGGGGTGTCAGGCAGAAGGAAGGCACAAGAGAAAGTCATCTTGGAGTCAGTCCCTGGATGCCAGGGTTTGCTTCTTATACCTGTCACAACAGTGCGAATGTTCTTGCTATGTCCCAGAAATTCACACTCATCTCCTTTCTTCAAAACACCACGTTCCAATGTACCTGTCACCACTGTGCCTCGGCCTAGGAGAAAGGAGAACAGGATGTCAGACCCTGGGTCAGGCTGTTGCTGTGGGAGGTGATGAACAGGCAGAGTCCTCACCAGGAATAGAGTAAACTGACTCTACAGGCAGCAGGAAAGGCTTCTCCAGATCCCGTGTGGGCACTGGGATGTAAGTGTCCACAGCATCCAGCAGCTTCTGCACCGACTTCACACCTAGCTCAGGGTCACGTTGCTGTTGGGGGATGGGGTAGGGTTCTGAAATTTCCTTTGTTTCTCTCACCAAGAGCCACTCCCCTGGACAGCAAAGCCCTTGAATACCCTCCTAGCCCCATCACCCATCAGCACTAACCCCTGCCTTTACCTCAAGGGCACAAAGAGCAGAGCCTATAATGACTGGTGTCTCCTCCCCCTTGTAGCCAAATTCTGTGAGCAGTTCTCGGATCTCCAGCTCTACTAGCTCCACCATTTCAGAGTCCTGGACAGCATCTGCCTTATTCACATACACCACAATGTGCTCCACCCCAATCTGTAAATGGGAAAGGAATAGAGTCGATGTTCAGAGTCACTCAAGTTCCCACTCTTCCTCTTTCCATCCCCGTCCAGGCTCTTGAGTACCTGCTTAGCCAGTAATAAGTGCTCTCGGGTCTGGGGCATGGGACCATCATTGGCTGCCACCACAAGGATACAACCATCAAGAGGAGCAGTGCCTGTGATCATATTCTGGGTAGAAAGACAGAAAACAACCTCCTCAGCTCTTTACCACCACTTGTGGCCGTGGCAAACCCTTGATCTCACATCCAAACATCTGAATCTCTCCTAAAGCACCCCCTCCCCA